AAGGAAGGAAAGAAAGAAGGAAGAATCGCTTGACCCCGGGAGGCAGAGGTTGCGGTGAGCCAAGATTGTGCCACTGCACTCCAGCCTGGACGACAAGAGCAAAACTTTGTCTCAAAATAAATAAATAAATAAAAATATTGAAACAATTTTAAAAATTAAATTAAAAAAATAAAAGGGCCTGGCACTGTGGCTCACACCTGTAATCCCAGCACTTTGGGGGACTGAGGTGAGCAGATCACTTGAGATCAGGAGTTTGAGACCAGCCTGGCCAATATGACCTCTACTAAAAATATAAAAATTAGCCGGGCATAGTGGTGGGTGCCTGTAATCTCAGCTACTTGGGAGGCTGAAGCAGGAGAATCACTTGAACCCAGGAGGCAAAGGTTGCAGTCAGCCGAGATCATGCCACTGCACTCCAGCCTGGGCAATAGAGAGAGACTCCATCACGGAAAAAAAAATTTTTTTTTTTTAAATCTCAGCTGGGCGCGGTGACTCACACCTATAATCCCAGCACTTTAGGAGGCTGAGGTGGGTGGATCACTTGAGGTTAGGAGTTCGAGACTAGCCTGGCCAACATGGTGAAACCCTGTCTCTACTAAAAATACAAAAATTAGTTGGGTGTGGTGGCAGGCACCTGTAATCCCAGCTACTTGGGAGCCTGAGGCACAAGAATCACTTGAACCCAGGAAGAAAAGGTTGCAGTGAGCTGAACTTGTGCCACTGCACTCCAGCCTGGGCAACACAGTGAGACTCTGTCTCAAAAAAAAAAAAAAAATCTCTGTCTTTATCCAGGTGCAGGGGTTTACACTTATAATCCCAGCACTTTGGGAGGCTGTGACGGGAGGTTCACTCGAGCCCAGGAGTCTGAGGCTGCAGTGAGCTCTGATCACACCACTGCACTCCAGCCTGGGCAACACAGTGAGACTCTGTCTCAAAAAAAAAAAAAAAATCTCTGTCTTTATCCAGGTGCAGGGGTTTACACTTATAATCCCAGCACTTTGGGAGGCTGTGACGGGAGGATTGCTTGAGCCCAGGAGTTTGAGACCAGCTGGGCAACAAAGTAAGATCCCATCTCTTAAAAAAAAAAAAAAAGTTAGCCAGGCATGGTAGTGCACACCTGTAGTCCCAGCCACTGGGGACGCTGAGGTGGGAGGATCACTTGATCTTGGGAGGCTGAGGCTGCAGTGAGCTGTGTTTGTGCCACTGCACTCCAGCCTAGGCAACAGAGTAAGACCCTATCTCAAAAGGAAAACATTTTTTCTACATTTTTTCTCAACTTTATTGAGATATAACTTACATATCATAAAATCACCCATTTTAAATATACATTTCAATGATGTTTAGTAAATTTATCAAGTTGTGCAGTCATCACCATGATCCAGTTTCAGGACATTTCATCAGCCCAGTAAGAGCCTTCATACCGGGTAGCAGCCACTCCCGCTCCCGCTCTCCCCAGGGTTACTCAACCCAGGAGACCATGAATCAACTCTGTGGCTCTGTAGATTTGTCTTTCCCTGACAATCTTTCTTCTTAAACTCAGCAGAGTGAATTTTGTTGTTTAGAACTAGAAATCCTGCCCAAAACAATACTAATATCCACTTTTGGGTGTAATGGAGTCTCACTCTGTCACCCAAGCTGGAGTGCAGTGGTGTGATCTCAGCTCACTGCAACCTCTGCCTCCCAGTTTAAGTGATTCTCCTACCTCAGCTTCCCAAGTAGCTGGGATTACAGGTGTGCAACACCACGCCTGGCTAATTTTTGTAGTTTTAGTAGAGATAGGGGTCTCACCATGTTGGCCAAGCTGACCTCGAACTCCTGACTTCAAATGATCCACCTGCCTTGGCCTCCCAAAGTGCTGGGATTACAGGCATGAGCCACTGTACTTGGCCCTAATATTTTCTTATTACAGAAGAAGAAACAATGACTCAGAAAGGTTAAGTCACTTGACCAAGGTCGTGTAGCCAGTAAGTGGTAGAGAGCTGAGATTGAACCTAAGCATCTGGCACCATAGTCCAGGCTCTCATTAAAGTATGCAGTGTAGGCCGGGCTCGGTGTCTCACACCTGTAATCCCAGCACTTTGGGAGGCCAAGATGGATGGATTACGAGGTCAGGAGTTCAAGACCAGCCTGGTCAAGATGGTGAAACTCCATCTCTACTAAAAAGTACAAAAAGTAGCTGGGCGTGATAGCAGGCGCCTGTAATCACAGCTACTTGGGAGGCTGAGGCAGGAGAATAGCTTGAACCTGGGCGACAGAGGATGCAGTGAGCTGAAATCGTGCTACTGCACTCCAGTCTAGGCAACAGAATGAGACCCTGTCTCAAAAAAAAAAGTATGCAATGTAGAGAGTGGAGGGGACAGGGTAAGATTGGAGGAAGGGAGACCATTTAGGAGACTTCTGGGTTGTCCAGACGTGAGAGCTGATGGTGACCTGGACTGAGGAGGTGATAGGGGCAGAGGAGAGAAGTAGATGAATTTGAGCAATTTTAGAAATGTAAAACAGTAGGATTTGACAACTGAATGGGTGAGAGGGAAAGAGGGGGATAATGAGTCAGGGAATGTGCCATGTTTCTGGCTTGGGCCACTGATGGGTGCTGGACTAACTTGCTGGGATAGGAAATACAGGAGAAAGAGACAATTTGGGGTGGAAGATGAGGTCAGAACTGAAGGCATTGAGTTTGAGGTGTCCATGGAACATACACATGTAGATGTTGAATGGGTGGCTGGATATATGAATCTGGAGCTGAGATGTAGGTTGCTTTTTTCTTTTTTTTTGAGACGAAGTCTTGCTCTGTCACCCAGGCTGGAATGCAGTTGCATGATCTCAGCTCACTGGAGCCTCCGCCTCCCGGGTTCAAGTGATTCTCCTGTCTCAGCCTCCCAAGTAGCTGGGATTACAGATGCCTGCCACCACACTCGGCTAATATTTGCATTTTTAGTAGAGACGGGTTTCACCATGTTGGCCAGGCTGGTCTTGAATTCCTGGCCTCAGGTGATCTGCCCACCTCAGCCTGTCAAAGTGCTGGGATTACAGGCGTGAGCCACCTCGCCCGACCTGAGATGTAGGTTTCTATATCACCAGCATATAGATGGGAACCAGAGCCATGGAAGAAGCAGCAACTAACCAGCAAGAAAAGACATAGATGAGAAAGAAAGAAGGCCTAGAACCGACCCCAGAGAAGTGCTAACCTTTAAGGGGTGGGAGTGCAGAAGTCCCCAAAGGGTTCTGAGAATGACTAGTCACAGAGATCCAAAGAAAGTCAGGCAAAGGGCCAGGCTCAGTGGCTCACGCCTGTAATCCCAGCACTTTTGGATCATCTGAGGTCAGGAGTTCAAGACCAGCCTGACCAACATGGAGAAACCCTGTCATTATTTTTAAAAATAAATAAATAAATATCAACCAAAAAAAAGTCAGGCAAAGGTAGATTCCTGCAAGCTAAGGGAAGGAGGTGCAGGAAGTGGGGCATGGTCGGTGTCAACTGCTGCTGAGAGTTCCAAGAAGATCAGGTCTGTGGTGTGTCTATTGGATTTAGTGACAATGACGTTGTTGCTTGCTTGGCAAGAGAGGCTTTAGAGAAGGGATGAGGGTGGGAGCCAGACTGGAGTGGGCGGAGGAGTGAATGGAGATGCGGAAATAGGCATGATGACTCACTCTTTCAAAGGACTTGGCTATAAAGAAGAGAAGCATGGAGTGGTGGTAGGAGAACATGGAACTGAAGTGTGTTTCCTTTTTTTTGGAGATGGAGTTTCACTCTTGTCGCGCAGGCTGGAGTGCAGTGGTGCAATCTTGGCTTACCGCAATCTCTGCCTCCTGGGTTCAAGCAATTCTCCTGCCTCAGCCTCCTGAGAAGCTGGGATTATAGGCATGCGTCACCATGCCTTGCTAATTTTGTATTTTTAGTAGAGATGGGGGTTTCTCCATGTTGGTCAGGCTGATCTTGAACTCCCAACCTCAGGTGATCCACCCGCCTTGGCCTCCCACAGTGCTGGGATTACAGGCGTGAGCCACCGTGCCTGGCCGAAGTGGGGGTATTTTAAAGATGAGAAATGCTGTTTAAATGCAGATGGGAAGCGGACAGGAGAGAAAGGGAAGTTGATGGGGTAAATGAAAATTATCATCGTCGTCTTCCTCACCATCACCACCAGCAACCACAAGGAAAGCTTGTTCTGCTCTGGGACTGCCCTGTTAGACATTTCTTCCTTATACTGAGCCAAAATCTATCCCCCTGTAACTTTCACCTTTGCTTAGAGTTCTGCCTTGTGTCCCTCTTCTACCTGGAACTCTTCAAATGGCTGCACACTGCTACTATGTCTCTCTTCTTCTTCAAACTCACAGTCCCTGTCCTACAGGCCATGTGCTCCGAGCCTGGTGACCAGACCCTCTACTGTCTCAGCCAAGTTCACACGACCACCCTCTTGTTTGTCAGGCCCCTCTTAAGAGGCAGTGTGCACACTCTTGCTTTGCTGATGGAAGCATGAAATGGTTCAAGCATTTATGATTTGGGAAACTGAACTCCGATATAAAATTGCACACCCTTTGACCCAGAAGCTGTCCCATGGACTTAATGCCTTGGATGTGAGAAGAAGCTCATGCAGGGATTCCTGGCAACATGAATGTGCGGTGGACAGACAGTGAGCACAGTGGTCAGGAGCACAGCCTGAGTGCATTCTCCCTGAGATCAGGAACAGGCAAGGATGACCGCTTTCACTGCCGTTCAACATTGTACTGGAAGTTCTAGCCAGAGCAATTAGGCAAGAAAAAGTAATAAAAGGCATCCAGATGGCAAAGGATGAAGTAAAATGATCTTTAGTCACAGATGGCACAATCCCATATAAGGAGAATCCCGAATAATTCACAAGGAAACTATTAGATAGAGCTAATAAACCAATTCAGTATAGTTGCAAGGAACAAGCTCAACATACAAAAATTGTGTGTGTGTGTGTGTGTGTGTGTGTGTGTGTGTGTGTGTGTGTGTTTTCACAAGGAACATTTGAAAGGAAATTGGAGAAAGAATTCCATTTACCGTAGCATTTAAGAGAAATGTGGCTGTGGAGCCAGATGGCTGCATTCAGAGCTGGCGCTGCTATTTACCACGTGACCCTGGACAAGCTTCTCACTTCATTCATGCCACAGTTTGTTCAGCTATTAGGTGGAGGTAATACTAGCACCTTCCTTATAGAGTTGGTTTTTGTTTTTTTGGTCGGGGAGAGTAAGGATTGCAAGAGTTAATATATGTTAGCAAAATCTACTTACAATAGTGGTTGGCACATGATAAGGACTATATTAGGGTTACCAAAAAATGTTTATAATTGGGAAAATTGAACAAAAGTTCCAGTTAAATCTCCATCCCAGAGACTGGCTGGCATTACCACAATGTACCTCTTAGCTTGAAGCATATGGAACTGCCTGTATTCTATAGCTACGGCCTGCAAAATGGCCAGTTTCTTTCCTTTTCTTTCTTTCTTTCTTTCTTTCTTTCTTTCTTTCTTTCTTTCTTTCTTTCTTTCTTTCTTTCTTTCTTTCTTTCCTTCTTTCTTTCCTTTCTTTCTTTCTTTCTTTTTCTTTCTTTCTTTCTCTCTCTCTTTCTCTCTCTCTTTCTTTCTCTCTTTCTTTCTTTCTTCCTTCCTTCCTTTCTTCTTTCTTCTTTCTTTCTTTCTCTTTCTTTCTTTATTTCTTTTTCTTTCTTTCTCTCTCTCTCTTTCTCTCTCTCTTTCTTTCTCTCTTCCTTCCTTCCTTATTTCTTCTTTCTTTCTTTCTTTCTTTTTCTTTCTCTCTTTCTTTCTTTCTTTCTTTCTTTCTTTCTTTCTTTCTTTCTTTCTCTCTTTCTTTCTTCTTTCGAGACAGAGTGTCACTCTTGTTGCCCAGGCTG